CTAAATTTTCTCCTTGCCCTGGAAACAGAGTATGTATGTGGTGGGGTGTGCAGGCCAGCAGGCCCGGAGCTTGGCTGCAAGCCCTGCCACACACACATGCATGCACTGTGTGTGTGTGTGTGTGTGTGTGTGTGTGTGTGTGTGTGTGTGTAGGGGCAGGTAGGCAGGTCCAAAGTGCACCTGCAGTTGAGCGCCACTTACTCTAGAATAAGAGGTGCTCAGTGGCAGGCACTGGCAGGCATATGCACTTTCTGGGCCTTCCTGCATGCCCCGCCCCACACACACATTCTCTGAGTGTGTGTGTGACTGGCAGCAGGGCTTGCAGGCAGGCCCTGCAGCTGAGTGCCTCTTTACCCTAGAATAGAAACAACAGGTGCCAGGTAAGATTGGAAGCGATACCAGGAAGGGGAGCCAGTGGGGGAGAAGACACCCCTCCCCATAATTGTTCGATTTTCAGGGCCCTGAACTGAAAATGACCCTCCCGATTTTGGGAGGCTCCCGAAAAATGGATTGGGCCCCCCAACGAAAGCCGGGACACAAAAAAGAGCAAAGTTTACTCCGAATGCACAACACTAATAATTACAACACCATCATTTGCCTGCAAGAAGTTAGTTCCACTGAGTATAATTCATCTTGTTTCCAGTAAAGCTTGCAGTATTTCATTAGACCAATGGAATGATGCAATGAATGACAGAATTCCAAAAATCTACTGTTTTCATTTGCTTACAGTCCCTTATGTAAGAAACAACTGGCGGTGTTTTATATGATAAAACACATTGGGTTTTGGTTTCTAGGTCTTCCTTGTTGTAAATGCTAAAGTACACAAATGCATAATTTACCTTTTCTTCCATAACACTTCCTGGAAAAACTCCTATTCTTAGTAACAAAATGAATTAGCAGTTTTAGGGCTTCTTAAGGCATGCCTAACAAGAATGTTGCTATACAATTAGGTAAGATGGTAAGTCAACAAAAGTTATCGGTAAAGGTGGATTATCTTGTTTTGATGGATTTAAAATCAAGTTTTTGTTTTGAATGGCCCTAGTTAGCTATAGTGAAGCAGAGCATTCTCTTCCCTTTCTGTGGTTTTCATCTAGACAAGCCTTATGTCATTGCTTGGAATGTAAATCAAGGAAGGAAGTGAAAGAAGCCAATTGATAATACAGACACTACCTTAAATTAATAAATAACTGATAATAAAACACAAAGGAAAGTGAAGCTTTCACCTACATGTATAGAGTTCTTCTTGGCACATGTCAAGTATGAGTTCTAAATTATGGGAGGGTGTGATATCCTAAAATAAACTACTCAAGAGGCCTTTGAGTTACATCCTGTATTGATGGTATGCAGGAACGTATAATTGAGAGTCAGTGCACTTAGTGCATGCTACAGCCTTTCCAACCCAGATGTGGTAGACTAAAACATAATTCCCCAGTAGATGATAATTAAATATATAGTTCAATATGAAAGAGAAAATAACTAAACACACAAAATACCTTAATTGTAACTACTGTATTTAGAAGGCAGGGAAAAGCTAAGTGTTGTAGTAGAGTCTGCTGGAAATGTTACAACTGATAGTAGGAGTAGTAGAGGAGGGAAACGAGGTGCCCAGGTGTTACATGAAGAGCAGCAAAGGAAGAGAATCCGGGAGATACTTATGTCACAAATCCTTCGAAGGTTTCTCTGGCAGTGAAATGAGTGAGGAGGAGGAAGGAGATGGGAGTAGAGGTTGTAAGAGGACTTCTCGGGAGCAAGAGTCAGACAAGGAGTGTCAAAGAAAGAGGATCCGGGACATACTGCTCCCACTGAGGAAGAGGATTTCATGGGCTTTACTGGAAGTAATGGGTCTGGGAGTAGTGAGGATGAAGAGGAACCACTGGARTGGACACACGTTCAGGAGATCAGGAATGTGTGTATGCAGCCCACGTCCAGTGACACCTTTAAGGGGTTTTCTGGTGGGGATTGGCAAGCTGATGATACCATGGAATCGTGGYGTGATCTAAGTCTTGACAAAAGGTGGAAGACATGGAGGGATGGGTGTTGGCATTCWGCTGTAGAAGCTAAGCCAGCTGACAGCAATGAGGACGGGGTGGAGGGCAACTCATCAACGGATGATGAGTTGTAGGATAAATGAAGGCACTGGAGTGATAGAACTTTGCAGTAGGCAAAGTGTTGGATTCGTGCCTTGGATCTTGTCGCTGCCGCTTCTCTTGTTGGGCTTGGGTCCTGGAACTGCAGGTTGCTGTGTTCTTTGTGTACCAARCAGCTTGGATTCTCGTAAGTGCGGATTTCCCCTCTCCTTGACCTCGGACTGTTTCTGATGACGACGCTGCCTTTGGGACTTTGGAATCTTCATCTAGGACTTCTTCGACTTGGGACTGTTTTTGGACGACGGCTTCTCTTCACYGCTCTTTGTTTAACCATTATCTTTGAACTGTGTGATTTTGGTGTGCTTTGAACYAACTCTTGTTTAATCCYGATTTTTTGCCAGTTTAATCCYGTTTATTTTCCAAATTCGTTTTTTAAGTTGCAAGTTGCTGCAAACTTTGAGTTTTGACCAGAGGCATTGAAGCGTCTCTGAGTCCTGTTTACTTTGATTTAATAAACTGTTTTTTTTAACATTTCCCTGTGTCTGGCTCTTTAAGGCATCTGAGTTCTGACACTAATGGACTGCAATTCAGTTCTTGTCAAAGACAAAAGCCAAGGATACTAAATAACTAGACATTCTACTATACACAAGAGGAACATAACTAATTATTATTATAGGGGAAATGTATTATGTTCCTTCAAGTTGTTGATGTAGAATCCCAAATGAGAGGAAGAAGGTACATGAAGATACATATTACATGGAATTATTGACCCAAGATAGAAGTTGTGAACTACTTGAAGACCAAATTAGTAAACATTATGTCATGAAGTGAATCAAAACATCCAACTCTGTCGAGGAGAAAAATAACTCAATATAGGCCTTTTGTGGCCTGAAGGCAATTTGAGCAGGGATTTGAATCCTTGTCTTCAGAGTCCAACAGTCATGTCATACACCATGTTGATTCATAACTTCATGTAGAACACATTCAAGAAATCCAAATGGGATGTAACAAAAGTATGTGTGTTGTTGAAGGTTTTAATGGCTGGAGTCATTGGGTTGCTGTGAGTTTTCCGGGTTGGAAAACTCTCCTGACATTTTGCCCACATCTATGGCAGGCATTCTCGGAGGTTGTGAGGTCTGTTGGAAACTAGGAAAATTGGGTTTATATATCTGTGAAAAGTACAGGATGGGAGAAAAACTCTTGTCTGTTTATTTATTTATTTATTTACTTACTTACTTACTTACTGTATTTGTATACCGCTTTTCTCAGTCCAGAGGCGACTCAAGGCGGTTTACAACAATTAGATGCTCACAATACCATAAATATAATTACAAACATTTATATATAATATAAAACCATAACAGAATCCATAGAAACATAAATCATTAGCGTCTCCTTGCTAAAACATTGTCCAGTCCCATTGTCTAGTTGTTCCATTTTCCTATGTCAGTTACTCTGCATTTACAAACGCTTGCTCAAACAGCCACGTCTTGACTTTCTTCCGAAATGTTAAAAGGGAGGGGGCTGATCTGATATCCCTAGGGAGGGCGTTCCATAACCGAGGGGCCACCAGTGAGAAGGCCCTGTCTCTCATCCCCTCCAGGCGTACTTGTGACAAAGGCGGGATCAAGAGCAGGGCCTCCCCAGACTATCTTAAGGTCCTAGATGGTTCATAAGGTAGGTGTGAATGTTGCAATTGGCCACCTTGATTAGCATTTAATAGCATTGGACTGGCTTCTTCCCGCTGGGGGGGACTCCTTTGTTGGGAGGTGTTAGCTGGTCCTGATTGTTTCCTGTCTGGAATTTTCCTGTTGTTTTTTTTTTTTAGTGTTGTCCTGATTTTGGAGGTTTTTCATACTGGTAGTCAGATTTTGTTCATTTTCATGGTTTCTTCCTTTCTGTTGAAGTTGTCCACATTTCAATGGCTTCTCTGTGTAGTCTGGCATGGTAGTTGTTAGAGTTGAACAATGAAACAATCAAGGTCAGCAAACCTCTCCCAACAAAGGATCCCCCAGGCAGGAATTAGCCAGTCTTTGAAGCTGCAAGGCCCTTCAATGCTAACCAAGGTGGCCAATTGCAACATTCACACTTGCCTTGAGCAAACAGTTCTTCCTCCCATCCTGGACATTCCACAGATATATAAACTCTGCTTACCTAGTTTCAACCTCCAAGGATGCCCGCCATAGATGTGGGCGAAAGGTCAGGAGGGAATGCTTCTGGGACATAGCCATAAAGCCCGGAAAACTCACAGCAACCCAGTAATTCTGGCCATGAAAGCCTTCGACAACACAGAATATCAAGTCAGAAAATCCCACAATATTTGCTTTGAACTAGATTATAATCTAGTTCAAAGCAAATATTGTGGGATTTTCTGCCTTGATATTCTGGGATATAGGGCTGTGAGGAAGGTCCCACAATCTCCAAATGGGCCACGCTTCCAAAAGTCTGTGGAGATTCCTGGTTTTCCCAAAAGGTGATGAATGCCATTTCCCAAAAACTTTCACTGTGATGGCTCATTAGTATGAAATCTTGGAGGCTGTAGTTTGGCAATGTCTGCTTAGCCTCCTCTCCCAAAGAGGGCTGATGCCAAGCCAAAGCACAACTGGCAGGATTGGGTAGCAATGAGCGCTGGCACTGGAAGTGGGGCCAAACTGCATGAATGCTACAGTGTTGATCATCAACCCATTCTTTCCCTTCCCGTTTGTTTTGGGTCCCCAACCTGTTGACCAGCGCCTCTCTCCGCCCAGTTACTGGAAGAGAGCAGGCCTGGGCGCCTCTTGCCCGGGGAATTCCGGCATCTGAGGTTTGTTTACAAGTGAAACTCGCTTTTGCTTGAGTTCTCTCAGTGGAAGGAAGCTCCCTCTGGGCTGCAACCCTGAAGGACAGCTTGAGGAAGGCACTTGGCGCGGATCGTGTGTCTTTAAAGCGCAATAGGGAAGCGAGTGTGTCCAAGATCCAGCTCCTTCCCTGGAAGCGGAATTCTGAAGCCAAACGGGTAGGTATTGCATTCTAAACATGCCTCCCTCTTTTGCACCCTCTCCAGTCTTTTGTGCTCTTGGGTGCATCCACATTGCCACATGGATGCAGTTTGACAACAGCTGGCAGAGATTTGAGTTGCAGGTTTTTGGCAGAGAAGGCAGCAGATTTTAGTAAAGCTCTACCAGTTCGAATCCAGGGAACGGGGTGAGCTCCTGCTGTTAGCCCCAGCTTCTGCCAATAAGTTACTATCCCTTATTGGGGGGGGGGGCATGCTCGGCTTCATTAGCAGTTCGAAAAAAATGTGAGTATATGAATAGGGAGGTAACGGCGCGCCATGCAGTCATGCCGGCCACATGACCTTGGAGGTGTCTATGGACAACGCCGGCTCTTCGGCTTAGAAATGGAAATAAGCACCACCCCCCAAAGTCGGACAAGACTGGACTTAATGTCAGGGGAAAACCTTTCCCATTGCTTTTTAAAGTAGCTCTTCAGCGAGCAGACAGAAGAAGGATACTTAGTTTCAAATCCCAAAGTTTGCAGCATAAGTGATGGGAAAGATTCAGACTTGTGGAATGACTGTTCTGATCCAGAGTTTGGGAAAGTTATTTATGGAGCTAGCTACCGTTTACCAAACCGCCCCAGCCGGCAATGCCAGCAGCCTCACTAATTAAGGGATTTCTTTGGGATCCATAGTCCAAAATTCCATAGCATCGCCATGGCAACTCAAGGGGTGTCAAGCTGCATTATTTCTACAATGTAGATGCACCCCTGGCTCAGAAATCATTCCAGTGGCACCCCTTTAGGATTGAGATAGAGAGGGGTAAAAATGTAATATATAAAATCGCTCAATACAGTGGGAACCTGGGAGTTGTAGTTTTACAAGGTCTTTAGCCTTTTCTGACAAGGATTCCGGTGCCTCTACAAATCCCATGGTTTTATAGTACTGAGTCATGGCACTTAAAGTAAGGTCTAATTGCATTATTTCGACAGTGTACACCCTGAGTTTAGCCAGCACTCACTTCGGAATAAAGTTTTTTAAATATATATATATATTATTGTGATATATATATGTGTGTGTGTGTGTGTGTGTGTGTGAGAGAGAGAGAGAGAGAGAGAGAGAAATTCTACATATATGTTATACATATATATATATACACACACACACACACACAAAGTTTTTTTTGGTCGTGTCAGGAGCGACTTGAGAAACTGCAAGTCGCTTCTGGTGTGAGAGAATTGGCCGTCTGCAAGGACGTTGCCCAGGGGACGCCCGGATGATTTGATGTTTTTATCATCCTTGTGGGAGGCTTCTCTCATGTCCCTGCATGAGGAGCTGGAGCTGATAGAGGGAGCTCATCCGCCTCTCCCTGGATTCGAATCTGCGATCTGTCTGTCTTCAGTCCTGCTGGCACAGGGGTTTAACCCACTGCACCACCGTGTATATGTGTGTGTGTGTGTGTGTGTGAGAGAGAGAGAGAGAGAGAGAGAAACCATGAAAATTTCTATATAATGAAAATGTAATGTTCGTTTGTGGGATTAACATAACTCAAAGACCACTGGATGAATTGACACCAAATTTGGACACAAGACACCTCTCAGGCCAATCACTCATAAAAACACTGAAAAACATAGTGGAAGGGACTTAAAAAGCCAAAAAACAAAAATACATTACAACGCATGCGCAAAACCACATATATACACCAACACACAAACTGGAATGTGTCCAGAGGAGGGCGACTAAAATGATCAAGGGTCTGGAGAACAAGCCCTATGAAGAGCGGCTTAAAGAGCTGGGCATGTTTAGGCTGAAGAAGAGAAGGCTGAGAGGAGACATGATAGCCATGTATAAATATGTGAGAGGAAGTCACAGGAATGAGGGAGCAAGCTTGTTTTCTGCTGCCCTGGAGACTAGGACACGCAACAATGGCTTCAAACTACAGAAAAGGAGATTCCACCTGAACACGAGGAAGAACTTCCTGACTGTGAGAGCTGTTCAGCAGTGGAACTCTCTGCCCCAGAGTGTGGTGGAGGCTCCTTCTTTGGAGGCTTTTAAACAGAGGCTGGATGGCCATCTGTCAGGGGTGGTTTGAATGCAATATTCCTGCTTCTTGGCAGGGGGTTGGATGGCCCATGAGGTCTCTTCCAACTCTATGATTCGATGATTCTACATATATACACAAATATATAAACAAATTTATGCATATATATACACACAAAACACATATACAAAGAGTGGGCCACAGCAACGTGTGGCAGGGGATGGCTAGTGCGTGTGTGTGTGTGTGTGTGTGTGTGTGTGTGTGTGTGTGTGTATATATATATACATATACACATACATATATATATATATATCTCCACATACACACACTCTCTCTCTCTCACACACACACACACACAACCGGTGCGGTCTCTAAGATCTGCCAGGGAGGCCCTCCTCTCGGTCCCACTTCCATCTCAAGCATGGTTGATGAGGACGAGGGAGAGGGCCTTCTTGGTGATGGCCGCTTGGGAAATTAGGCTAGCCCTCACACTCCAATGTTTTTGCAAAAACTTGAAAACATGGCTCTTAAGCAGACCTTCAAACATGATTACATCAGTTAAAACCGAGGAGCAAATACATTTTCTAACTCTGGCACTTTAATGTGATTAAAATTGATACACCCATTTAAATTTGTAGATATTGCTGCATTTTGTTTAAATGAGTAGGTTTTCATATTCTGTTTTATGTATATTTGTTTTATGTTAATAGACTTTGTTATTGTTTTATAAATGTTTATGTATTTTACTGCATTTTGTATATTCTGTTGCACTACTACATGCATTGTGAGCCACCCTGAGTCCCTTTTGGGATATGGTGGCGGGATATAAATAAAGTTGTTGTTGTTGTTGTTGTTGTTGTTGTTATTACTACTACTACTACTACTATAGTACTTTTCTCCCATTATTTTAGATCAAACCTTTTGTATTTAGAACCTATCATGGTGTAGTGCTCTGAATATACTGGAATTAGGATTCTGGGAGGCCAGGATTCAAATCCACACTCAACCACTGGGCGCTCTTGTTACTCTGCATGTGCAAATCACTCTACACATGTAGAGTAACATTCACCAATATATATCATTGGCAGGATGCCAGTCAATCATAGAATCACAGAATTGGAAGAGACCTCATGGGCCATCCAGTCCAACCCCCTGCCAAGAAGCAGGAAAATTGTATTCAAAGCACCTCCAACAGATGGCCATCCAGCCTCTGTTTAAAAGCTTCCAAAGAAGGAGCCTCCACCACACTCCGGGGCAGAAAGTTCCACTGCTGAATGGTTCTCACAGTCAGGAAGTTCTTCCAAATGTTCAGATGGAATCTCCTTTCTTGTAGTTTGAAGCCATTGTCCCATGTCTTAGTCTCCAAGGTAGCAGAAAACAAGCTTGCTCCCTCCTCCCTATGACTTCCTCTCACATATTTATATGTGGCTATTATGTCTTCTTTCAGCCTTCTCCTCTTCAGGCTAAACATGCTCAACTCTTTAAGCCACTCTTCATAGGGCTTGTTCTCCAGACCCTTGATCATTTTAGTTGCCCTCCTCTGGACACATTGCAGCTTGTCAACGTGTCTCTTCAATTGGGGTGCCTAGAATTGGACACAATATTCCAGGTGTGGTCTAACCAAGGCAGAATAGAGGAGTAGCATGACTTTCCTGGACCTAGACACTATACTCCTATTGATGCAGGCCAAAATCCCATTGGCTTTTTTTGCCACAACATCACATTGTTGGCTCATGTTTAACTTGTTGTCCAAGAGGACCCCAAGATCTTTTTCACACGTACTGCTCTCGAGCCACACGTCCCCCGTTCTGTATCTTTGCATTTCATTTTTTTCTGCCAAAGTGGAGTATATTGCATTTGTCCCTGTTGAACTTCATTTTGTTAGTTTTGGCCCATCTCTCTAATCTGTTAAGATCATTTTGAATTCTGCTCCTTTCTTGTGGAGTATTGGCTATCCCTCCCCACTTTGGTGTCATCTGCAAACTTGCCTTCTAACCCTTCGCCTAAGTCATTAATAAAGATGTTGAACAGGACCGGGCCCAGGACGGAACCCTGCGGCACTCCGCTACTCACTTCTTTGCAGGATCACTGCAAATATTTGTTGTTAATTACAGTTAAATCAATTTTGACTTATGGCAATCCTATGAGTAACAGTTTTACTCAGGTGTTGCAAACTGAAGGCCTTGACTTTCTTGATTGAACCTATCCACCTGTCTCCCTCTGTTCCTCTTGCCTTCTATTTTACTAAGAGTTGCTGTCTTCTCTCATGGGTCATGTATTCTAATGATATTGTTGAAAGGATGACAGTCTCACCACTTCAGCTCACTAGAGAATGAATCTACTTTAAATCCAGTTTCTGCCTCCTGCAGAATTCTAGCATTTGTAGTTTAGTGAAGCTGTTAAAGGCTTCTCCCTAAACTACAAACCCCAGAATTCTGCAGGAGGCAGAAACCAGATTTAAAGTGGATTCATTCTCTAGTGTGATGAGGTAGTCATCAGTGTAGTAGTCATTTTGGCTTCTAGGGAGAGCTGGGGCATGATTTGTGGTGGAACCCGCTATTTGTCTTTTTGGCAGTTGATGGTATTGACAGAACTCTCCTCCAGAACCACATTTGAAATGAGTTCCTTTCCCTTGTTCCGGCTTTCTTAACATTAAGCTTTCTTCTGAAAGTTAAGCTTTCAGAATCGTACACATAAGTCAGAAATGTGGCAGCATATCATGGCAAATATTAGTGATCCTTTAAATAAAAATATACTTGTAATGGACTTTTAAAAACTGACAGTTTTCTAGAATTGAGACAATTTGAGGTTATTCTTTCATGTATTAGTTTTCCTTACATTGGTACGAGCATTTCCAAATGTAGACTGATTTGTTCCACGTACTTCAAAAGATGGGGCACTCTGAAGCATGGGAAAATCAAGGGAAGGCATAGTCATTTCTATACTGTTGCTGGACTTTTTTAAAGCCCCAAAGTGATGTCAGAGTCCACTGATGCAAGGGAATTCTTTGCAAAAGCCTGTGACTCCTTGTGCTTTGTATGCTGATGTGTGTGCAGCCAAGAGATATAAAGGATTCTTTGAGTGGAAGTGACTCACTTCATTTTCCATGAGAATGACTGTGACTCATTGGGAAAACAATTTTTGTGTGTGTCAGGAGCGACTTGAGAAACTGCAAGTCACTTCTGGTGTGAGAGAGTAGGCCGTCTGCAAGGACGTTGCCCAGGGGACGCCAAGGCTGTTCAATGCTAATCAAGGTTGCCAACTGCAACATTCACACTAGCCTCAAACAGACAACAGTTCTTTCTTCCACCCTGGATATTCTATAGATATATAAACCCCATTTTCCTAGTTTCCAACAGACCTCACAACCTTTGAGGATGCCTGCCATAGATGCAGGGGAAACGTCATGAGAGAATGTTTCTGGAACATGGCCATACAGCCCGGAAAATTGACAGCAACCCAGTGATTCCGACCATGAAAACCTTCGACAACACATTACTAAATTTGTTTTTCTCTGTGGCATGTGGCACAGTTAAGAATGAATTTTCTCACACAGTTGAAGAGGCATGGGGAAAAATCCTCGATTGTGCAATGTTTTTCAGTAATTTCACTTTGTAGGATTCTACTATAATCCTTTTCCTAGGATATCTATATTATATTTCCAAATGCTTACATATAATGCTGGGAGTTTAGAGACTGAAAGAAAGTTATGAATTGATTAATAATTACACTAGGGAAAAATCATGGAGGGCAGCACTCTTATGAGGGCAGTGCCCTTATTTTGCCCTCCATCACTTGACTCCTGTCTAAAGGGCCCCATGATTCCCATCCTTGTTGAAAACCAAGATGCTGATGTAGAATTCCCTATAGGTTTTCAATGTAAACTAATTCTTGTTTCCAGACTTCTGTTTGATAACACAAAACTAGAAAAAGAGCAACCTTCTCCAGTTGCCTTGTGGCCTTTTATAAATGTGTCTGGGAAATGCCCTACAAAAACATCTGGAATGAATCAAGATTTTTGGCTTGTGTTGCTTGAATATGAAAGTGGCAAAAAACAAAGAAAGGGATTTTCCCATCCACTATCCTGTCGGTAGTTAGCAGCCTGATAAATTGAAACTGCACATGGAAAAAAACATTGTTTTTGAGGGATAAATATCAGGCTGTAGTTTCCTTCTGTTAAGCTTGCTTCAAGAGGCCTAAATTTGAATTTCTATGTACCCATGAAAATGCTGAGCAGCCAATTATTTGGTTCCCACATCTTGGCTGAGAAGTCAGTACTTATGAGAAGGAACCAGTGAAAGTGCCAGGAAGGGAAGATCATTTCCCCCTAAAAATATCTTTGCCATTTATGTCTGATGAAAAAGTTTATGAACTTTCAAAACTTTCATATTATTGTTTTGTGCCTTTTGTTAGTCCCATAAGCCAATAAAATATATTATTTAAAATGTGTTTTTTAATGTCATTATATTTTATTGCATGGCCAACACCCTGGACACAGACAGACAGACAATTTTGTGTCACAATCCAGCCATATAAGTACAGTAGTTAAAATTTTACACTTATTTAACCAAAAGTACTTTGACTGGGTGGACGTTGTTGAGCGACCACAGCGCTACACAAGAGTCTAGAGTATAAGCAAAGAGTTTATTGTAAAAATATATGAAAAAAGCAGGGATAAAGAAAGAAGAGAAATACTCCAAAAAGGTTTAGCAATAGGTGATAACCACACAGGAAACCACATGTCTTATAAAAATCCAAAGGTAATATAGTTTAGGAATAGCCAAAAATTACAAGAACAGCATAAATCCATGAGCAAGAGCTATATTTATAAAACTCGAGCAAGAATCATAAAACAAGAATATAGAAAACTTCAAAGATACTTGAATCCAAAACCAAGACTTGACTTGACCAGAGACTCAAGCCTTGCTTTTAACTCAAAAGCCAACATTGCCTGAACTGACTAAGGTAAACACTGGCTGTTAATAAACAGTCATGAGGTCATGTCATTTCCCATGAATTTTCTCGTATCTCTTTCCCACATAATCCTTCTGACCTGTAGAGCCGATTCTCTGTTCTGATCTGTAAATGAAAACGTTTGCTTATCTCCGTAATGCCAGGTGCTTTCCCTTGAGAGTTTTCCATTTCACTTAATTCTCCTTCATTCGACTCTTTATCTAATGATGTTGTTTCTGGCTCCTGTGACTGACCTTGGAGTTCTGTGCTGTCTGAGTCAATTTCATTTCCCTGGCATGAATCTTCAGCACTTTGAACCTGGCCTGAATCTGCATCACTTTGAACCCCAAGAAATCCCACAATCTCTTATGAATCATCAGTCAACCTATTAGCCCCTGGCTGCTGAGCTACAAGAGGTGTTTTATGCCCTCAAAGTTCAAAGATACCATATGGATATATGTGTGTGTATCCTACTCTGCTGTGTGTATCCTACTCTCTACTGTTAGAATGAATTATATGAAAGACCAAATGGACTGAACCCTAAGAAGGAATACATTGCCGTCTCTACTTAAGTCTTTTTCTGTAGATTTTCTGGTACTTACTGATGAAGTAATTATCAAAATATTGACTGTATAATGAATGAATATACACTTATAAATTGCTTTACTTGAGAAACCTGGGGGGGGGGGGGGAATCAATATGGATATTTCTAATAAAAACAGTTTTAGTAATTATTCTAGTCTGGAAGCTTTGGAATTTCTTTTAATTCTGAGAACATCAACGGCTGAGTCCAGTTTGTCTTGAGTCTTTTTGTGWCATTAGCCACAATTCTACATGTGCTTGTCCGCTGTTCTTTCCTAGTAACACACTGASTACCTTCTGACCTTGGCACCTTCAATTTCATCTTATTTTGCCTTTTGTACATGGTGTTTAAACTTGGATTATGGTTATATTGATGGTTGTATTGATTCCATGGCACTGAATCGTGTCAGTTAAAGTGATGCGAAACTGCATCCTTACTGAAACATCATGCCATATTGGTACAAAATGTATCAAAAAGCTTTCTGTGTAATAAGTGTTTTTACCAGTGAAGCCAAATAAATAAATAAACAAATTCTATCATGCTGCTCTTGCTTTGTTTTTGTTTTTGTTTTCAAAACCTTTTAGGCAAACATGATTCCAGTCTGGAAGATTTGGTTCATCACTGTGGTTGGAGCTGTGAGTCTTTCTGCCCAAGATAACTGTCTGTTTGAGGCAGCATCTCGTTTTTGGAACTGTTCTTCAAAGGCTTTCAGTGTGGTTCCACCTGATTTAACAGACGATGTCTTGAGGTTAGATCTGTCCTTCAACAGGATTGAGCAAGTGAGAGAAATAGAACTGAAGTCTGCAGTCAACCTCTGTATCCTTTTGCTTCAGTCAAATCTAATCCATACAATAGAGGAGGGTGCCTTTCACACTCTTGTCAGACTGGAGAATTTGGATTTATCGATGAACAAGCTGACTTACTTGTCATCCTCTTGGTTTGGATCCCTTTCTTCCTTGCAGAAGTTAAATATCAAAGGGAACTACTATTCAGAACTTGGGGAAACACCACTCTTTTCTGGCCTAAAAAGTCTGCAATTTCTGTACTTGGGAAATGACAATCACTTCTCTACTTTACGGAGACAAGACTTAGAAGGGATTTCTGTTCTGGAAGAGTTGGAGGTAGAAGGACCACTTCTGAAGCAGTATGAGCCAGGAAGCCTTCTATCATTGCAGCGTATAAATAATCTTATTTTGAATGATCCTTCCACGTCCATTTTACTTTTGCTTATGCGTGATGTTAGTAATTCTGTGGCATGCCTTGAATTGCAAAATGTTGAAAACATTGCACCTTTCCTATCACTTGATCAAGAGATTGATTTGGCTGCCAAAAAAATGGTGTTCAGAAGTGTTATTTTTCTGGACAGCAGTGTTGCTCATATGATACACTTTTTGGCCAGTATGAAACAACTCCATGAGGTCCAGCTTTTGGACTGCACATTGCGGGGTAATGGCTATTTTGGGAACATTCAGCATTATTCAAGCAGCTTACATGTAATAACAATTAAAAATATTACAAATGAGGCATTTTATGCATTTTCTGATTTGTCCAGTGTGATACATTTGTTGGAGAATATTACTAGTATCACAGTTGAAAATTCAAAAGCTTACCTGGTGCCTTGTCCTTTAGGAAAATTCAGTTATTCACTACAGTATCTTGATCTCAGTGATAATTTGTTTATTGATCCAGCATTAGATATTTCATTGTGCCAAGGCGCCTGGCCTAAACTGCAAACTTTAAATGTGAGCCAAAATTCTTTGTCACAGATTGAGATAGTATCACAAAGCACAGCTCGTATGGTAAATCTTTGGAACCTAGATATAAGTCAAAATAGCTATGGAACGATGCCAGATTTTTGTGAGTGGCCAAAAAATCTGAAATATTTAAACATCTCAAGCTCTAAAGTAAGCAAAGTCACAAATTGTATCCCCCAAAGTCTGGAGGTGCTGGACATTAGCAATAATAACCTCCAAGACTTCAGACTGAGCCTTCCTCATCTCCAGGAGCTTCACATCCAAAACAACAAATTGACTGCCCTTCCACTTGCTGCCTCAATCCCGAGCCTTAGCATCATGAACATTAGAAGAAACAAAATATTTGGATTCTCTGAACAGGAACTGGAAAGATTTGCACACTTGGAGATATTGGATGCAAGTTACAACAGCTTCCAATGCACATGTGAATTTCTCTCTTTCATGCAGTCTCGATCAGAAATATCTCATATCTTTATGGATTGGCCAAATAACTACATTTGTGATGCACCTGAGTATGTAAGAGGGAAGGAAGTAGGAGTTGCCCATTTATACTTCATAGATTGTCATTTGAAATTAGTAGTTTCTTTACTCTGTATCTTCATACTTCTGATCATCCTTGTGGTAGCAATTCTTTGCTACAAATTTCATGCCATCTGGTACATGAAAATGATCTGGGCTTGGCTTCAGGCGAAACGCAAACCCCAAAAAGCCTATGTTAAAGAAACTGAGTACGATGCCTTTGTTTCCTACAGTGAACAGGACTCTGAGTGGGTGGAGAACGTCATGGTGAGGGAGCTGGAGCAAACCCATCCGCCATTCAAACTCTGTCTCCATAAAAGGGATTTTCTGCCTGGCAAATGGATTGTGGACAACATTATTGACTCCATTGAGAGGAGTTCTAAAACTCTGTTTGTGTTGTCACAGCACTTTGTCCAGAGCGAGTGGTGCAAATATGAACTTGATTTCTCTCACTTCCGCCTCTTTGATGAGAACAACGATTCTGCGATTTTGATTCTACTGGAGCCCATTCCACCAGAAACAGTTCCCAGAAGGTTTTGCAAACTGAGGAAACTGATGAATACCAAAACCTACCTTGAATGGCCAAGTGATGAAAATCAACAGATGATCTTTTGGTTTAATTTGAAAACTGCTATAACATCCTAGTAGAAAATGTGGACTTTTTACTGTCCAGGCTCAATGCAGTTGTGTGTGTATCTACCTTTTACATCACCTGTCATGGCCTCATTAATTTGGGGGCTTTGGCAATTTTCTCCTCTAAAATACAGCTCATAGCAATTGGAATTTGTTGGCAGTCTCCCATCCAAGTACCACCTGGGGCTGACCCTGCATAACATTCAGAGAGTAGAGAGGATCTAATGCCTTTACAGTACCTATGCCTTCCAATTATCAGAGACAGCAGGATCTGTTTGATTTGTGAGTAAACAAATCAGGTTAAAGAATACCTTTCTAATTAATCACACTAGGGAATGAATCTACTTTAAATCCAGTTTCTGCCTCCTGCAGAATTCTGGGTTTTGTAGTTCAGTGAGGCTGTTAAATCTCCTTCCTAAACTACAAACCCCAGAATTCTGCAGGAAGCAGCAACTGGATTTGGAGTAGATTCATTCTCTAGTGCAGTGTTTCTCAACCTGGGGGTCGGGACCCCTGGAGGGGTCATGAGGGGGTGTCAGAGGGGTCGCTAAAGACAATCAGAAAACAGTATTTTCTGTTGGTCATGGGAGTTCTGTGTGGGAAGTTTGGCCCAATTCTAACCTTGGTGGGGTTCAGAATGTTCTTTGATTGTAGGTGAATGATGAATCCCAGCAACTACAACTCCCAAATGCCAAGTCTATTTTCCCTACACTCTACCAAAGTTCACATTTGGACATATTGATTTTCATGTTAAGTTTGGTCCAGATCCATCATTGTTTTGAGTCCACAGTGCTCTCGGGATATAGATGAACTACAACTCCAATACTCAAGGTCAATGCCCACCAAACCTTTCCAGTATTTTCTGTTAGTCACGGGAGTTCTGTGTGCCACGTTTGGTTCAATTCTATCATTGGTGGAGTTCAGAATGCTCTTTGATTGCAGATGAACTATAAATTCCAGCAACTACAACTCCCAAATGATGCAATCAATCCCCCCTCAATCCCAGCAGTATTCGAATTTGGGCGTATCGGGTCTTTGTGCCAAATTTGGCCCAGTGAATGAAAATATATCCTGCATAACAGTAGAAAAATTACAGTTGTAAAATAGTAATGAAAATAATTTTATGGTTGGGGGTCACCACAACATGAGGAACTGTATTAAGGGGTCGCAGCATTAGGAAGGTTGAGAACCACTGCTCTAGTGTGATGAGGACCACAAAATTCTTTGGACTGAAATGTTGGGCAAAATGGTACCAACATTTGGGGAAAGGGAAGAAGTAAAGCTGCAGATATCTGGCCATGTTTTGCAGCTATTGTGTGTTTGTTTCACTGAATATGTTGAAGATGGCCTGCGAAGAACTATCTTGTTCGCTTCAGTATTTGAGAAAGCCAACTGTAAACCGCCTTCAGGCTGAGAAAGGTGGGAGACAAATATCACAAACAAACAAACAAACAAATAAAGCATACAGTGATTTTCAATCTATTTCTTATATCCAATAATGCATTTGAAGGCCTGGAAGTGTCTGGCTTTGATGAGAATGTCATCCTGGTTGAATGTATGTTAATTACACATCAACTGATGTAGTCATATTTTACTTTTTGAATAAAATATCTACTGACAAATCTCTGCACTGAATGTTTCAGTAATAAAAAGACAATTAATTCATTTTTCTCTCTTTCTGGCAAACAGGTGTTTGAATTAGCACCAGCAGAGGCTGATCCAAAAATTAGTTGACTTAAAAATAGTTGGATCCATTCGAGATAGCTGTATTGGCTAGTGAGGTATGTGGGGAGGTGATTTAGTGATAAGGCAATAATACCACAGCCAGCCTCTTTGTTACGATAAATCTAACACATACTCTAGTTCACAGCATGGCTTTAGTGATTATACTTCTGGATCTGGATTGTTTTCAGTGGCATTCTTGGTTGCATTTTGGAGATTTTATCTGGTTGCCTTATACATGAAATTAAGGACTTTCCCAAATATTTTTAATTTCATGTATAAGGCAACCAGATAAAATCTCCAAAATTCAACCAAGAATACCACTGAAAAATCTCCAGATCCAGAAGTATAATCACTAAAGCTATGCAGCAAACTAGAGTATATGCATTGGCATAAAATTGTTGATACTTATTACACAATTTAATGTTCGATGTTGCAAATAACAAAAAGTTTCCTAAATTACCAAGGCTGAGGCTCTGATTTTGGAGTTAGGATTGGCCTACTTTTTAAAATCTTTTCTCAATGGGAATCTTCTTCCTGAAAGAATTTACTTTTTCCTCCACTGAGGCGGAGCAATCAGCTACATATAGGTAGCAGAACTGAATTCTCATTTGGTTAAATTTTATTTATTTCATATCAGAAGCTTTGCATAAATAAGTATAAAACTGGTAAAACAGAAGAAGCACAAGTGGATAAATAAATTTAGACCAAAAACGAGCAAGAGTGACCATATTGTCTGTGGCTTTAAACAATTCTTTCTCTGTGCATGAGGCAGGGCGTTGTGGGCAAGCACACCAATGTGGAGTTGTTTGTTCTGCTCCACAGTCACACAAGATGGAGGATTCTTCTAGGCAGTGTCAGTTTGCCAGGTTGTCTTTGGATCTGCCCACTCCATTTCTGAGTCTGTTCAGGGACTTCCAAGTTGCCCATTCTTGGTTTGCCCCTGGGGGAAGACCCTTGTGGGAGGGCATCCAGTTGGAATTTCCTTGTTTAGCTGCCCAGAGGGATACTCTTGCTGTTGCTGGAGGAACATTAAGAAGAGTGGTGGTTCTCATGAAGTTTTTCCTTAATTTGAGTCTACTGGGAGGAGGCTGATAGCCATGCAGTGGGTGGCTTTCACAGTGTTCAACCTTAATTCTCTCAAAGTTAGCAGCAACTTCCTGATGCATATCAGGGGAAGCAATGCTAGCTAGCTTATAGAGACTCTCAACAGGTGTGGGTTTGAGACATCCTGTGATTATTTTGCATGTTTCGCTCAGTGCTATATTCACCTTTAACATTTAACGTTTGGTTAAATGTTATACTATCAATGGACATACAGATATTACAATCAACGGACATATTCTTTTTCGAACCAGCATTACTGCATTATTGTTGCTATTGACAGAAGGATATATGAATCTCAGTATTTCGATGATTAAATCTACAGTTTCTCTCACTCTGATAGGGATTAAAAGGTTAAAAGAACCCAATAGCACCTTTCAGAGAAAAGGAAATTCCAGCTTTTTCCAAGTGCTGCTGGATTTTTTTGTGTCCCATTATGCTAAATTCGACTAACATAGATCTTGAATACTGTTGCAAAAGATTAGATTTCTGGCATTTATCCTTATTTTATCTGTATGGACCTGTAAACACAGTTTACCAAGATATTAATATTGAGGTCCAAAGTGAAAGGATGATTAAAAAAATCTAGATATAAGAAACATTTTGATACAGACTGCACATTTGCATAATGTCAGCTACAACCTACAATACTGCTAATACAAAGTCTCTCCCAAATTCTCACTTAAAAAATTAATGCAAAACTCTCTCTAGAAGAGGATAGAACAATAATCAGATCTTTTGATGAATTATTTGTGGACTGTTGAGCGAACAGATGAACTTTGTTGATGGTTTTGTATTTTCTTCCTTAAACCTTTTCAGTCGCCTTCTAAGTCTTTGTTTTTTTTCTGCTAAGAGTATGATGTTATCCATCGATCTTTGTCAGCTTTCAGGACAGTGCAATAAAGCAGTGATAGGAAACCTTACCAGGCCAATTACAGTATATTCTGGCGTATAAGACTACTTTTTAACCCAAGAAAATCTTCTCAAAAGTCAGGGGTCGTCTTATACACGGGTGTAGTCTTATGCATGGGAGTCGTCTTAACTCTATATTTCAACTGGAAAAGTTGGGGGTCGTCTTATACGCCCAGTCGTCTTATATACGGTAGATTTGACACACATGATCAAGACAGTGTATTTTAATATCAAGACAAATGTTTTTAGTGTTCATGTATGCATATAATGAATTCATGTCCTGGCATTGAATGTTTGCCGTATATATGCTGTGCTCCGTCCTGAGTCCCATTCATGGTGAGAAGGGCGGAATAGAAATGTTTTAAATAAATTAAATAAATAAATTTTCAAGGCTGCTTCCCTTGAATGTAATCCTGCTTTCCATATGATATGTTCTGTATATAAATAAAACGGACTGTGTGATATATTGCAGCCTTATCTGATCCCTTTGTGAATGAGAAACTATACTGTTTCTCCATATTTTGTCTTAACAGAGGTCTCATCTCCTAAGTATAGATTAGACATCAGAGCAATCAGATGTTGTGGCATCATCCATTTATTTCGCAGTGAGCCATAGTTTATCATGGTCTACACCAGTGGTTCCCAACATTTTTCACCAGGGACCACTTAATCGGGGACTACTTGACCAGGGAGCACTTGACCAGGGATCACTTTGACCAGAGACCATCTTGACCAGGGACCACTCTCCAACATTAGTGCCAAAAGGGTTACAAATCAGTTTTTGGTCAACTTTAAATTCAGCTTGGTTATTTGGGGTGCTGGTTCAGAAAATTGCATTGGATAGACTACATCAGTTATAGTATCTGGTACAGAGCACATGCCATCCAGTAGTCGCCATCTGCTTGCCCACAGAAAACCATATTTAATAAACCTCACCTGTTGTAGTAGAGCCTGTGAGTAATGTTACAAACAGTAGTATGGGTGCCAGAAGGGGGGAAAGGGTTACTCAGGAGCAGTAATATGATGATGAGCAGCAGAGAAAGAGGATCCGGGACATATTTACAGCACCTACAGATGAGGAGTCGTTTGAAGGATTCTCTGGGGATGATGGGTCAATGAGTGAAGGAGAAGACACCATGGATCGGACTAAGATAAGAGAAGTGCAAGCTATTTGTGAGGAGCCAACAACTAGTGATACCTTTATGGGGTTCTCTGGGGATGAAGACTGGCAATCAGGGGATCCAATTGAGTCTTGGGATGACCTAAGTCTTGAGAGGAGATGGAGGACTTGGAGGGAAGGACAAGGGAATTCACGTGAAGAGCTGGGAGCAGCAGCGGGTGATGATGGGGCAGTGGTCAGTTCATCTTCTGATGATGATTTGTAAATAAAAGTGGGTTCAGGGGTGATGGGTCCTTGCAGAAGGCAAGGTGTTGATAAACGTTTGTGTGTTGGGTGCTATGTGTTGGAAAGGATTCTTGTGGACTTGTTGCTGCCTGTTTTGTGCTCGGCATTGGTTTGGGATCTGCAGTTTGGATTTCCTGATCGTTCACATGTTTCTGACCCAGATTGGCTTCTTGTGAATGTGGATTTCTCCCTTCCTGGACCTGGACCGGTTTGACTAAAGATGCTGCTTCTGCGGACACTGGAGCAGCGCTGTTTCGAATTTCTCCCACTTCAATCCTGGACTTCGGCTGACGATGCTTCTCTTCCTGTGGCCCCTCCTTTTTGTTAACTATTTGTGTACTGTGCCTTTTGTTTTGCCTCAGAGTGCTTTGTTTGATTCGTTTATTTTGCATCCAGTTTATCCAGATTATAATTCTGTCAACCTTTTTGGACCAGGTCTGGTTTGTTTCTTGAGTTTTGACCATTGGCACTGCATTTAAGTACCTCTGCATCCTTTTTCTTTTGTTTTAATAAACTCTGTTTTGAAGCCACTTTTGAGTCTGGCCCTTTAAGGTGTCTGTGATTCCAACATCACCACCTTAAGAGGGTTTCGCGAGACTAGTTGCTCTCGTTGCAACAGTGTAGTAAGAGTGAGGTCGCTGACCATATTTTAGTTCTTATGGACCACTGGTGGTCCATGGACCAAAGGATGGGAACCACTGATCTACACAGTCAAAAGCTTTGCTGTAAGCTAAAGCATAGGACTATTTTATGAAATTCTTTGATGCAACAGTTACAACTAGGGAAGCTGAATCTCTGATACTTTGGCTTTATTCTTCCAAAATTGAGTGGGTAGCTTTCACTGCTTGTTTGGTTGATATAGACTGGTTCTGGGTTAATTACACAGCGTTTTACTCATGAACCTATGTTAGATCCTCTACAGACAAAAAAGCCTCTGAAAATCCAGGTTTTGCTCCTGTACAAATGATATTTCTCCATTTGAAGTATTCCCAGGAAATTCCTGACAGGGTCATTATTACTCTCCAGGTTAGTTTAAATTAATCCACTATTTCCTGAAATGAATTGTGTCTCTTTGTGGATTCCTGTTTGAGATATGTTGGAACAGGCTAAGATATTTCAAGAAAGAAGTTGAATAATGAATAATTGAATATATAAGTAAAATTGAAACAAAAAGAATGGATTGTGTCAATACTTCCAGGGATTCTTTCAAGACAAGCCCTTATGACCAGTTGGTTTAACTCCTAATTCACTAGTAAAACTGAAAGACTGTGTTGCAAAACATGCATGTCTTAAAAGTGTGTCACTAACATGAAATGTTTGGAAAGCTCTGCCTTAGAGAAACATCTAATAGTTGGTGCAAAATATATCAAAATACTTACTATGTGATAATTTTTTTACTAGTGAAGCCAATTAAATTTTATTATGCTGCTCTTGCTTTCTTTTTCTTTCTTTTAAATTGTTTAGATAAACATGATTCCTGTCTGGAGGCTTTGGTTCATCTCTATTGCTGGCGCTGTGAGTTTTGCTACCCAAGAGAACTGTCTTCTTGAGCCGTCTTCTCATTTTTGGAACTGTTCTTCCAAGGCTTTCGCTGCGGTTCCACCTGATCTAACAGGCAATGTCTTGAGATTAGATCTGTCCTTCAACAGGATTGATCAAGTGAGAGAAGCAGACCTGAAGTCTGCAGTCAACCTCCGTATGCTTTTGCTCCAGTCTAATCTAATCCAAACAATAGAGGAAGATGCCTTTCACACTCTTATCAGGTTGGAGCATTTGGATTTATCAAGGAACAAGCTGACCCGCTTATCACCCTCTTGGTTTGGATCTCTTTCTTCCTTACTGACTTTGAACATCAAGGGGAACTGCTACTCAGAGCTTGGAGAAAACCCTCTGTTTTCCAACCTAAAAAAATTGAGATTTCTCTACTTGGGAAATGATGATTGCTTCTCTACTTTGCGGACGCAAGACTTAGAAGGGATTTCCGTTCTGGAAGAGCTGGAGCTAGAAAGCCCATACCTTAAACAATATGAACCAGGAAGTCTTCAATCAACAGTGCTCATAAACAACCTAATTTTGAATGACCCTTCCACAACCACTTTGCCTGTGCTTATGCATGATGTTAGAAATTCTGTGATATCCCTTGAACTGAGGAATATTCAAAAGCTAGGGCAGCTGAACTATTTTTCACTTGGTGGCATTGCTGCCCAGAAATTAGTGTTGAGAAATGTTATACTATCTGATTGTGATGTTGTTCTTGTTATAAGATTTCTTGCCACTCTGAGTCGACTACGTCACTTAGAGATTTTAGACAGCCACTTACAGGGTCATGGCATTTTTGGTGGCATACAAGATATTTCAAATACTTTAGATGTGCTAGTAATAAGAAATCTATTAATCAAAGATTTTTATTGGTTTTCCAATTTGTCTACTGTGGTGCATTTTTTGGAGAATGTTACTAGTCTTACGATTGAAAATGTTACAGCTTATATGGTGCACTGCATGTTTGGAAGACATTGCCGTTCAATGCAGTATCTTGATGTCACCAACAATTTGCTGGTAGATACAACATTAATGACTTCATTCTGCAAGGACGCCTGGCCTAAACTGCAAACGTTAAATGTGAGTCAGAATGCTCTGAAACAGATTGAGATCGTATCACGAAGTACAACTTACTTAATAAATCTTTCTAACTTAGATATAAGTCGAAATACCTATGAAGCAATGCCAGACTTTTGTGAGTGGCCCAAAAAATTGAAATATTTAAACATTTCAGGGTCTAAAGTAAGCAAAGTCACAAATTGTATCCCTCAAAGCCTGGAGATGCTGGACGTTAGCAATAATAATCTCCAAGACTTCAGACTGAGCCTTCCTCATCTCCAAGAGCTTTATATCCAAAACAACAAATTGACTGCCCTTCCACTTGCTGACTTTTCCCCTAGCATTAGAGTCATGAATATTAGAGGAAACAAAGTATTTGGATTCTCTGAGCAGGAACTGGAAACCTTTGCAAACTTGGAGATGTTGGATGCACGTTACAACAGTTTCCAGTGTACATGTGATTTTCTCTCTTTCATGCAGTCTCGATCAGAAATATCTCATATCGTTATGGATTGGCCAAATAACTACATTTGTGATGCTCCTGAGTATGTAAGAGGGAAAGAAGTAGGAGTTGCCCATCTACGCCTCATAGATTGTCATTTGACTTCAGTAGTTTCTTTAATATGCATCTTGGTACTTCTGATCATTCTGATGGCAGCAGTTCTTTGCCACAAACTTCATGCCATCTGGTATATGAAAATGATCTGGGCCTGGCTTCAAGCAAAACGCAAGCCCAGAAGAGCGCGTGTTAAAAAAATTGACTACGATGCCTTTGTTTCCTACAGCGAGCAGAACTCTGAGTGGGTGGAGAATGTCATGGTGAGGGAGTTGGAGCAAGCCCATCCACCATTCAAACTCTGTCTCCATAAAAGGGATTTTCTGCCTGGCAAATGGATTGTGGACAACATTATTGACTCCATTGAGCGAAGTTCTAAAACTCTGTTTGTGTTGTCACAGCACTTTGTCCAGAGTGAGTGGTGCAAATATGAACTTGATTTCTCTCACTTCTGCCTTTTTGATGAGAATAATGACTCTGCGATTTTGATTCTGCTAGAGCCCATTCCAGCAAAAACAGTTCCCAGAAGGTTTTGCAAACTGAGGAAACTGATGCATACCAAAACCTACCTTGAATGGCCAAGTGATGAAGATCAGCAGATGATCTTTTGGTTTAATTTGAAAACTGCCATAAAATCCTAGATGAGGATTTGGGAAATATACACATGTCAGTCTGGACCAATCCAATTTTGAATATCTCCTTACTTGGTCCTGGCCTGTCATCACATGAAGATCCTACATCTGTGTGTTGTTCTGTAGGAGCAGATACATGTCTTCTCACATCTTGGGAGCCATCAAAGCTTTGAAGATGTCCTTGCTTACTGAAGGAGTCGTGAATCACCTTATGGAAAAGCAGGTATTCTCAAACTGGGGAGGGAGATGAGGATACACTGTGAAATGGAGTTCAGCCTTTTCCTTCCTTCAGGAGTCTAGAGCAGCCAGATCTTCTTAGTTTGAATTACATCCTCTCTCCATCCTCTCCCAACTGGTAAGAGACAGCAGTAGGGGTTTGCCTAGGAGCTGACAGTGGCCAGATGGTTTTTGGACACATTACAAGAACAGAAGAAATGTCCTCTGCACTCGAAAAGGGGCTGGTACGGGTGTAAGCTTATCTATACTTAGGTCTTTAAAATAATACTGGACTATACACCCTTCATTGCAAAGATCAAGAGTGAGCATTTTCTCTTTCTGAGTTGTAGCGCCTTGCGCTTGAATCTCTCTCTAAATATTCAGCTTTCCCTCCTTTTAAAAACCTTCAATGATTGTACATTCAGACCTGGAAGATCCATTGTAAATACATTATTTTTATTTTTGTATTTATTTAGTCTATTGAGTGACTGCATATGATTATAATATGGAGTGATTAATGCAACATGATATAATATGACTGTGAGCAACCGTAGACCTAAGGCCTCATGAAGTTTTCCGCTAGATCTCATGAGACCTTCAGGACATCAATAAAGATCTCTTTAACAGACCCTTTCCCTTCTCTCAAAGCCTAGAAGAGAAAGAATAAACTGACATCTTGGTCCACTATGGCCACATCTCCTACTGACTTCAGCCCAGCTATCACTGACATGTGATTTCCAAGAGATTAACGAGCTGAGGAGCCTTCTAATCAAGGTGAAAGAAGAAAGCGCAAAAGCTGGGTTGCAGCTAAACATAAAAAAACCAAGATCATGGCAACAAGAATGATTGACAACTGGAAAATAGAGGGAGAAAATGTGGAGGCCGTGACAGACTTTGTATTTCTAGGTGCAAAGATTACTGCAGATGCAGACTGTGGCCAGGAAATCAGAAGGCGATTACTTCTTGGGAGGAGAGCAATGTCCAATCTCGATAAAATAGTAAAGAGTAGAGACATCACACTGGCAACAAAGATCTGCATAGTCAAAGCCATGGTATTCCCTGTAGTAACCTATGGATGTGAGAGCTGGACCTTAGGGAAGGCTGAACGAAGGAAGATAGATGCCTTTGAACTGTAGTGCTGGAGGAAAGTTCTGAGGAACTGCCTTGGACTGCGAGAAGATCCAACCAGTCCATCCTCCAGGAAATAAAGCCCGATTGCTCATTGGAGGGAAGGATACTAGAGACAAAGTTGAAGTACTTTGGCCACATCATGAGGAGACAGCAAAGCCTAGAGAAGACAATTATGCTGGGGAAAGTGGAAGGTAAAAGGAAGAGGGGCCGACCAAGGGCAAGATGGATGGATGGCATCCTTAAAGTGACTGGACTGACCTTGAAGGAGCTGGGGGTGGTGATGGCCGACAGGGAGCTCTGGCGTGGGCTGGTCCATGAGGTCACGAAGAGTCGGAGACGACTGAACGAATGAACAACAACACCCTTATAGGAATACAGTCTCTGGGCACAAAAATGTCCTCCTTAGTATAATATATCTTAACAAAGCTTGTTGTTGTTAAGCTAAAATATTTGTAATCAAACTAGATAGCAGGCTGGGTTATAATTAAATCCAGATCAACAGAATTGGCTTTGTGAAATTAAGTACAGGTATACTTCAATTAACAAAGCTTCTGACAATGAAGCTCTTTTTCATAAAGTCTTTTTATGCCTTCCCAGTCTCCCTTTTCCTCCCTGCCCTTAGTTTTTTTTAAAGTTGTTTCCTAGCATCATTCAGGGAGGATGAGAAAAGAATGCTGGAGATCCACATTCTTTTGGTACATCAGAGAGCAATGCAGTACAGCTTGAGCTGCAATACTATAGTTTTTTCTCTCTATCCATTCCTCCTGTGGCCTTGTGTGCCTGACTAGAGTGCCTACAGCTATTCCTCTCTACTTATTAAGCAAAGTAGAGAGGAATGAGCAAAGCATATAAGCCAGCCTCAACAGTTGTCCCCAGCAGGCTAAGAGGAGCCCCCAGTGGTGCAATGGGTTAAACACTTGTGCCGGCAAGACTGCTGATGGACAGGTCAGTGGTTCAAATCAGGGGAAAGTGGATTGAGCACCCTTTGTCAACTCCGTTCCCCATGTGTGGACATGAGAGAAGTCTCCCTCAGAGAGGGTAAAACATCAAACAGCCGGGCATCCCCTGGGCAACATCCTTGCAGATGGCCAATTCTCTCACATCAGAAACGAATTGCAGTTTTTCAAGTTGCTCCTGACACGAAAAAAAGTCGGTTAAAAATCTTAAGGTTCTATAGATTTTGCCACCAAAATGGAAATTTAAAAAAACGAGACAGGTGAAAGAAAGAAAAAGTGATTCCAAAATGTATTTTTAAAGAGGCTTTCCAGTTGTATGTAGAAGTTTGAAATGTCTTTTTTTACTTATGTGTGAACTACTTCACCTGATTTTTTCCCCTTTTATATCTGCATAGTGTTAGTTTTGAATAAAAAGTTTGCTGAAACATGTTGACCTCTTCTTTTTTGTGGTGTAGGAATCTATCTCTATATTTTTCACTTATTTCTATTTCTGGCACCAAATTGTCTGATAAATAAATAAAACCCAGAAACACATTAACGTTGTTACCTGAAATATACAGTACCTGTGTGTTGAGAAGTCTTATATGGCAGAGTTCAGTGTGTGAATGCTCTACACCTGCAGCTGCTGCAGAAGGAGGAACAATGACTGTCTTTCATCAGTTGTGGAATGTCTTAAAGAAAGCTATAGTGGTCACTTTGGTCATAGAATTACAAAATTTTTAAATCCTAGAGTTGGGACCTAATCAAATCCCCTGCCATGCAGAAATATACAACTAAACCACTTCTGAAATATGCTTATCCAATCACTGTTTAAAGAACTCAAAAGATGGAGAGTCCAACATCCACAACATCAAGTAGCAATTGCATTAATGAAAACTGAGATTATATATTTTTATTAATTATAGAATCATAGAGTTGGAAGAGACCACATGGGCCATCTAATCCAACCCCCTGCCATGAAGGAAAAACACAATCAAAGTACCCCAACAGATGGCCATCCAGCCTCTGTTTAAAAGCCTCCAAAGAAGGAGCTTCCACCACACTTCTAGGCAGAACGTTCCTTTGCTGAACAGCTTTCACGGTCATAATTCTTCCTAACGTTCAAGTGGAATCTCCTCTCCTGTAATTTGATGCTTCTTGCTCCAAATCCTAGTCTCATGTCAGCAGAAAAAAAGTCTGCTCCCTCTTCCTTATGGCATTATTTCACATATTTATACATGGCTATCATGTCTCCTTTCATCCTTCTCTTCTTCAGGCTAAACATACTCAGCTTTTTAAGATGCTACTCATAGGGCATGGTCTCTAGACATTTGAACATTTTAGTTGCCCTCCTCTGGACACATGCCACTTGTCATTATCTCTTTTGAAATGTAGTGCCCAGAATTGGACACAGTATTCCAGGTGAGGTCTAACCAATGCACAACAGAGAGGCACCATGACTTCCTACGATCTATGCAAGTGGTTCTCAATCTGTGGGTCCCCAGATGGTTTGGCCTTCAACTACCAGAAACCTAACAATTGGTAAACTGGCTGGAATTTCTGCGAGTTGTAGGATAAAACACCTGGGAACCCACAGGTTGAGAACCACCAATTTAGACACTAAATTTCTTTTAATGCAGCCCAAAACCCATTGGCTTTTTTAGCTGCTGCATCACACTGTTGGCTCATGTTCAACTTGTTATCCACATAGACTCCAAGATCTTACTCACATGGACTGTTGTCAAGCCAGGCATCACCCATTCTGTATCTTTGCATTTAAGTATTCTGCCTAAGTTTAGCATCTTATATCTGTCCTTGTTGAAATTAGTTTTGTTAGTTTTGGCTCAGCTCTCTAATCCATTAAGGTCATTTTGAATTCTGATCATGTGCTTTGGAGTATTAGTTACCTCTCCTAACTTGGTGTCATCTGCAAACCTGATAACTTTTGTTTTTCCTGTGACTTCAACATTTCCAGAATTTTTGCATCTTTCATTACAGGTACATCCTGTGGAATCTGGCAGTTTGGTGGAGTAGTAGAACCTCTGGTAGAGATTTATAAGTTGCTCATGAAACTACAAATCCCAAATTTCCTAGGATGTAAGCATGATAATTAAAGTGGTATCTAGGTGTTCCAACTGCATTGTTTGAAAGAGCATGTAATGTTAGAATCAACCTGATTAATGGTTTTGAAAAATATAGGGGTAGTTGTACTGAGTTAATTGTTTTCATTCTAGGATATGTATGACTATCTGAAAGATGTTGCCCATACGCCGGATAAAATCCAAAATTACACTGTTATCAAAAGTTCACTGGGATTCCACAAAACAAGTAAACTTTGTGATTTGTTATGTGAAATGGGCCAAAACACCAGAAAGATAGCCCAACTTTGTAGTCAAATTTTTGTGTGCATCTAGACTGTTGAATTAATGAAGTACAGCTTTGATTGCCATGACTCAATGCAAGAAAATTGTGGGAGTTATAGTTTTACCAGGTCTTTTGCCTTCTCTACCAAAGAATGCTATTGTTTCACCAAACTATAGCTCCCAGCATTGGGCATGGATGTTAAAGCGGCATCAAACTGCATTACTTTGACAGTGCAGGTGTACCCAAAGTCAGTGAAACATCTAATAATACTTTGTAGAGAACATAACAATGTACTGAATATGGGGCCATCTGTACAGGCCATTTAATTCAGAGTTGGTCAAGAATGGCAATACTACAGAGTTGTCCAGAGATGGCTACACTGCCCATCTCCATCCCACTGTGATGATTGGGGAATTCCTAGAAATTCTGGAGCAGTCCCCGACTGTTCTTAATGTGGGACTAAACAAAATTCACTGGCTTTACCTCAGATTGTAAGCAAGAAGACTCAATGAAACATGTGATGCCAAAAGAGTGACATCTCACCCACAGATGGCCTCTGTGACAAATGGTTAGACCTGGGGTCCTCAAATTAAGGCCTGAGGGCCAGATACGGTCCTCCAAGGTCATTTACCTGCCCCTCGCTCATGGTCAACCTAAGTCTGAAATGACTTGAAAGCACACAACAACAATCCTATCTCATCAGCCAAAAGCAGACCCACACTTCCAATTAAAATACTAATAAGTTTATATTTGATAAAAATTGTTGTTCATTTTAATTATTGTATTGTTTTTAAATGTTTTTTGCACTACAAATAAGATATGTGCGGTGTTCATAGGAATTATTCGTGTTTTTTAAAAAATTATAATCCGGCCCTCCAAAAGTTTGAGGGACTGTGATCTGGCCCTCTTCTTTAAAAAGTTTGAGGACCCCTGGGTTAAACCATGAAACTACGGTAATTCAATAATACTTCTTTTGCTTTCTTTTTGTTTTTTTAAAATCTTTTAGATAATCATGATTCCCATCTGGAAGCTTTGGTTCATCTCTGTTGCTGGAGCTGTGAGTCTTTCTGCCCAAGATAACTGTCTGTTTGAGGCAGCCTCTCATTTTTGGAACTGTTCTTCAAAGGCTTTCAATGTGGTTCCACCTGATTTAACAGATGATGTCTTGAGATTAGATCTGTCCTTTAATAGGATTGAGCAAGTAAGAAGAGTAGACCTGAAGTCTGCCATCAACCTCCAAGTGCTTTTGCTCCAATCTAACCTAATCCAAACAATAGAGGAAGATGCCTTTCACACTCTTGTCAAGCTGGAGCATTTGGATTTATCAATGAACAATCTGATTCATTTGTCACCTTCTTGGTTTGCATCCCTTTCTTCCTTGCAGAAGTTGAACATTAAAGGGAACAACTATTCAGAACTTGGACAAACACCCTTGTTTTCCAGCCTAAAAAGTTTGAGATTCCTGTACTTGGGAAATGGTGATCGCTTCTCTACTTTACAGAGACGAGACTTAGAAGGGATTTCTTTTCTGGAAGCTCTGGAGATAGAAGGACCATACCTCAATCAATATAAGCCAGGAAGTCTTCTATCAATAGAGCCCATAAATCACCTAATTTTAAATGCTCCCTCTGCTACCATTTTGCCTTTGCTTATACATGACATTAGAAATTCTGTGGTATGTCTTGAACTGCAAAATATTAAAAAGCTGAGCCCTCCATACTATCACTCACTTGATGGAATCACTGCACAAAAGCTTGTATTTAGAAATGTTGGGATTTCAGATAGGTCTGCTGTGCATATGTCACCCATCCTGGCTTCTATGAGTCAGCTACGTGACCTAGAGTTCACAGACTGTAGATTGCAGGGCGTTGGTGACTTCAGTGGTATTCAACTGTATCCACGTACCTTACAAGTAATAGCAATCAGAAATATGTCTATTGAGCGTTTTTATTCATTTACAGGGCTTACTTCTGTCATTCCTCTGGTTGAGAGCATTACCAGTCTTACAGTTGAAAATTCAAAAGCTTTTCTGATGATCTGCCCAGTTGCAAAAAGTTTCCGCTCAGTGCAATATCTTGATCTCAGTGTAAACCTGTTCCGAGATGACGCTTTGCTACAGACATTTTGCCTAGGAGCCTGGCCAAAGTTACAGACTTTAAATTTGAGCCAAAATTTTCTGAAACAGATTGAGATAGTAGCACATAGTGCTGCACAGGTGATAAATCTTTCCAACTTGGATATAAGTCGAAATAGCTTTCAGAACATGCCAGACTTTTGTAAGTGGCCAAAAAATCTGAAATATTTAAACATCTCACGTTCTAAAGTAAACATAGTCACAAGTTGTATCCCCCAAAGCCTGGAGGTGCTGGATGTTAGCAATAATAATCTCCAAGACTTCAGACTGAGTCTTCCTCATCTCCAAGAGCTTTACATCCAAAACAACAAATTGACCGCCCTTCCACTTGCTGCCTTTTTCCCTAGCCTAAGAATCATGAATATTAGAGGAAACAAAGTATTTGGATTCTCTGAGCAGGAACTGGAAAACTTTGCAAATTTGGAGATGTTGGATGCACGTTACAACCGTTTCCAATGTACATGTGAATTTCTCTCTTTCATTCAATCTCAAGCAGTGAAGTCTCATATCTTTGCGGACTGGCCAAATAACTACAGTTGTGATGCTCCAGATTATATAGGAGGAGAGCAAGTGGCAGTTGCCCAACTACACGTAACATATTGTCACCAGACGTTAGTGGTTTCTTTAATTTGTATCTTGTTGCTCCTGATCACCCTGGTGATAGCAATTCTTTGCTACAAGCTTCATGCCATCTGGTATATGAACATGATCTGGGCTTGGCTTCAAGCTAAACGGAAGCCCCCCAAAGCTCTTGTTAAAGAAACTGACTACGATGCTTTTGTTTCCTACAGTGAACAGGACTCTGAGTGGGTGGAGAATGTTATGGTGAGGGAGCTGGAGCAAGCCAATCCACCGTTCAAACTCTGTCTCCATAAAAGGGATTTTCTGCCTGGCAAATGGATTGTGGACAACATTATTGACTCCATTGAGAGGAGTTCTAAAACTCTGTTTGTGTTGTCACAGCACTTTGTCCAGAGCGAGTGGTGCAAATACGAACTTGATTTCTCTCACTTCCGCCTTTTTGATGAGAATAACGACACTGTGATTTTGATTCTACTGGAGCCCATTCCAACAGAAACAGTTCCCAGAAGGTTTTGCAAGCTGAGGAAACTGATGAATACCAAAACCTACCTTGAATGGCCAAGTGATGAAGATCAGAAGATAACATTTTGGTTTAATTTGAACATTGCCATGAAATCCTAGGAACTGATGTTGAATTCTTTATTGTATGAGTGCTTGTTTCACTTTATGCTTTAGCATGAAGTTCTTTTGAGAACATGCTGTCTCTGCTTTCTCATCCCTTAGCTAAACATGCAGTATTTTTTTCTGGAACATGTGTAGGTGCTGAACAAATGCTAAAACTTAACAGTATAGCGACACCGATTAGAGAAGTATGAAATATACAACTTCTCAACCAGTTATCCAGTTCCTTTAGTTGTAAATGCTTTGTAATATGCAATAATATTCAATGCAGACTTTAAAATACTAACATTCTATCACAGCAGAAGAACAAGCAGAGTTAGAAACACAACATACAGTAGAGTCTCGCTTATCCAACTTTTACTCATTCAGTGTTCTGTAATATCCAAAGCAGTCTGCCTCCCACCAGGAATAATGTTCAGGGTGGGCAAAAGAAAAAACCTTTGTCTATTTTGGTGCTAAATTCATAAATACAGTAATTAATACATAACATTACTGTGTATTGAACTGCTTTTTCTGCCGATTTGTTGTAAAACATGATGTTTTGGTGCTTAATTTGTAAAATCGTAATGTAAATTGATGTTTAATAGGCTTTTCCTTAATCCCTCCTTATTATCCAACATTTTTACTTATCCAACATTCTGCCGGCCGGTTTATATTGGATAAACTAGACTCTACTGTATAAACTAGACTCTACTCTACCTCCAGCCAGGCCAATCAACCCAGTAAATGTTAGGCTATTGTGATGCTCGGATCAAGCACCACAAAAGTCAATAGATGGTGACATCTGGTTCTTGCCAAAGTGAGGAAGTTGCATAGAAAAGAGGAAGGAAGAGCATATTTATAAAACCCAGAGGATTTCAGAAACTTGTAGTAACACTTCAAATCCAAGTGAAATAAAGCTAAATGCCAAATAAGTACCAAATTACTTTAATATAATTAAAAACAACACTATTCTACCTTACAAAACATTGCTTTGCCTTGATGACAACTGATATCCAAGCATCCTGAGTCACTAAACTTCAATTCCACAAATAGAAGAATGTTTTAGACATTATGAACACTATGGAAGATATTCACTGAGGTGTACCTATCTGTTTAAGTTTAGTTATCTTTGCAAAATTGCAATAAAAAAGGAGGGATAACCAAAATCCTGCTGTTGTAAGCCATCAGACAGGGAGATTTAGAAATATGTTTATTTGATAACACAATAATAATAATAATAATAATAATAATAATAATATTAATAACAAACTTTATTTGTATTCCACCCTCTCTCACCAAGGGGATTCAAGGCGGATTCCAACAAAAAACAGCCAGCATTCAATGCCAAACACATTCATAAATAAAAATACAAAAACAAACTAATCAAATATCGAAAAGAAACAACAGGTATGCCAAAATTTAACAAAAATTAAATAACCTACCAATTGCTCTACATTTTGAGTGAAAACATAACACATAAATTATATAGAGACACATAACAATTAGTAAAATAGTTATTAAAATATTAAACACTGTTAATAAACACTAAACAATATTGAACATTATGTAACAAAATTTGAAAACATTTCTGTTCTTGGTTTGCAAGTGTTATTTTCCTGTTTAATTGTGTGGTAGTTGCTTTGAAAGTAGTTGTTATACTCCAGAAACTTCATTTTTGTGGCTGCCACAAATTGTTGAATTGGTTGGGACTTGATGAGATATTAATTGAAAAACTATAGCAAAATATGCTGCAGGATATCCCACAAAAACAAAGTTTTTGCAGTTTAATAAATTTTCCCCATGTTTTAATGATAGAACTAATTAAGAAATTACATTTATAACCTAGGAACAAAAATCGTGTTACATAGTGTAATGAATAACTAAGTAAATAAGTATTTTTCTCTACAAAAGGATACCATGGTTCACTGTATTAAAGGTTACTGAAAGGTCCAAAAGAATCTAAAAGAATACACTCCCTCTTGTCAAGCTTCCAGAATACATTTTAGCATAATTGTCACAGTTAATTACATTTTATTCACTCTATAGACATATATATTGTAATCAATTACATATCACGTTTCTTTTATTAGGACTGTAGATATAGGCAATAATGTGCTCCTATAAAAGCAAGCATATCTGGTGAGCTAAGGATGTAACTTATCTTTATGTTCTCCATACATCCAAGATTCTCCCTCTGTGTGAACAAAAACATGGGATCAAAAAAAAGCGACTTTGAGTCAGAGAAAGATACTATGTTTGGGCTTCATAAACATCTTAGGGCTAGAATTAGCAACTTGTAGCCTTCCAGCTAGTTTTGGGCTCCAGCTCCCACTATATCTTGCTAATAGTTCTTCTGACCAAGACTGACTTGGTTAGTGGTTCAACATCTATAGGGTACAACAGAGGCTTCCCTCAGTTGTCTTCATAAATAGGGATGTTCCAGAAGAGGTATAATGCCTCCATAGATGCCACCCCAACAGGAAGCTCACCCCACTCAATTTCTGGGTTCCCTCTTAATTCTTGAGAGCAAGACACCTTTAATATATATGTAAACTAATCCATGTATTACCAGCTAGCAGTTCAGGGATGGGCATAGTGTAGCCAGTATGGGTGCTTGTGTTCTCTCAAGCACCCCTTTATAGCCTCCATTTATTTTATTTTATTTTTCAAAAACAGACTGCTGTATGCTGTTGGTGTAGGATTTAGCTTGTCCTTCTGGAGATATTTCTTGTTCCTTCAGTGTCCTGCTAATTCAACCTCATTCCATTTTTCTTTCTGATGCTGGTACAAAAAAATTCCTAACCATCTATTATGAGTAGACTATCAGAATTCATCATATGTGGCTGCACTACAGCTTCAATGTCCCCATTTCCAGGACTCACAATAGCCCATTCCTTTGGTTGTTTCATGGCTGGTGGAGAACAGAGAGGACTGGAAAAGTCTCAGGATGTGTTACAGTAGCCAGATGCAAGCTGCAGGCATCTTCTGCCAAGACCTGCAGGGAAGGCTTAGTAGATGATGCCATAGGCCTGCGTCTTGACTATGGTAACATAGCCAGACAGCTCCACGAGCAATGAGATGGTCATGGGAGGGAGCTATTGCAATACCATGGTATGTTTGATGGAAAAGGTGAGCTTTGGTTGTTGCTGCGGGCGAAAGAGCATAGCAACTTTCACTATGAGCCCCCCTTTCCCAAAAGACATGTACATTATGCCACTAAAAGGATGGAAGCCTTTGTGTGTCTGTTGGGATATTTAAGCCTTTATCCTCCCCAGTGTTCAATCTCTATGCTTATAAATAAACACTATATTATAAATTGCATTGTATCTTCTTCGCCTATGTATTTTTCATCTAGGCTTAACGTATATGTTTATAAAGAAAATGCAAACACAACTAAATACCAATAAGACTTGGTTCAAAAAAAAAAAACCAAGTCAGAAGTTATTCTGTACACTCATGGGATGTTTCACCATGTTGTTCTAACTACTACTACTACTACTACTACTACTACTACTACTACTACCGAACGTATGATGAATATAGATGATTGTTGTTAATCTGTGCCCTCAAGTCAACTCCAATTTATGTTGGCTCTAAAAATGATCCTATCACAGACGTTTCCTGGCTGGATTTCCTCAGAGGAAGTTTCCTCTCAGCTTCTTCCTCTGAAGCTGAGAGAGTGTGACTTTCTGGAGGTCAACCTCTGCATTTCCATATTTGTCCATAATTGAATGGGGATTGAGACCTGGTCTTCAGAGTTGTAATCTAGCACTTAAATGACACTGACTGTCAAACCAAGATTACTGGTTTGCTTTGAGTTTTCTGGGCTCTATGACCATATTCCAGAAGCATTCTCTCCTGAAGTTTTGCCCACATCTATGGCATGCATCCTCAGAGGTTGTGACCTCATAATCTCTGAGGATGCCTCCCATAGATGTGGGTGAAACATCAGAATAGAATACTTCTGGAACATGGCCATACAGCTCCAAAAATTCACAGCAACCCAGTGATTCCAGCCATGAAAGCCTTTGACAGCACATTAAATTCCATATTAGTTGTTTTCAGTTTTTCTAAACAGCGATAAGAGTTTTAGGGATGTTTCTTTTAATTTGGGTTGTGAGCAGAAATAAAAACAAATCAAAAGTCTATTTGCAGCTCTGTATTGACTTACTTTTTTAAAAGACTATTTTCAACACAAGTTGAATGCCAGGTTTGTATGTGCCGGAGAAGCTTCTTTGAGATTTGCAGCTTTGTTTAAAACTGAAAACCAGCCTTTTTGTCAGTATGCATGAGCACAGATGTGGAACGCAGGACTTCCTTCCTTGGTGAAGCCTAGCAGAAAGCAGGATGTGTATAAATAGTTGCAAAACGCTACTTGTTTTGCATTTTTGGTAATGCAGAAGGAAATGGTGCTGAGCTTTCCTTATTGGGGAAGAATTTGTGAAGGCACTGCATGGAGTTACTGGCTTTTCATTTTCCTCCTTAAATAAAAAGTGTCAACCAGAGACCATTATTTATTATGGAAAGGGAGGAAAGATAGTGTAAACAGGAACAACTGGAATTCCTGAAAATGCCATTCAGCCCAACAATTTCAGTTGCAGTTCAGTATAACTTGATTTCCTGAACCAAACTCAGTTTAAAACCCTTAATATTTAGAAATGCAAGCAAATCAAGATATGACCACTAGCAATTCACTTACTAAACAAAGATGTCCAACTTTTGGCATAATTTTGAAAAGCAGTTGGGATATTATTTTTTAAAAGTAAATGTTACTCTTTGCAACTCATTGCATATGTAACAAGGAGTGCACTGTACACAAAGAATGTATGTACTCTGAGTTGCACAGCTGGGAAAAAAGAGATATATAAAATCTCTTTCTTTTTTCCCCCAGTTGTGAAAAAGCCAGTTTGGTATAATGATTAAAGTGTTTGGCTACAGTTCTGGTGAAAGTCATGAACACCACTAGGGTTTTTTTTCCGTGTCAGGGCAACTTGAGAAACTGCAAGTCACTTCTGGTGTGAGAGAATTGGCCATCTGCAAGGACGTTGTGGGATGCCCGGATGTTTGATATTTCACCATCCTTGTGGCAGGCTTCTCTCATGTCCCCGCATTTTGACAGAGGAAGTTCATCCGTGCTCTCCCTGGATTCAAATTTTCGACCTGTTGGTCTTCAGTCCTGCTGACACAAGGGTTTAACTCATTGCACCACTGGAGGCTCCACCCACTAGTTGACCCTTGGCAAGTCACACTCTCTCAGCCTCAGACAAACCTGTGATAGAGTTGCTGCAAGTCAGAACCAACCAGCAAATCTATCACAGTTTTCATGCCAAGATTTATTCATAGGAAGTTGGCCATTGCCTTCCTTAGAGGCTGAGAGAGTGTGGCTTGTTTAAGATCACGAGCAAGAGGCCACTATAGACAATAATATAATCCAATAATACAAATCATAAGATGGTTTTTCATATGTATGCTATAGTCATAGAGCATTCAACGTACAAACAAAGCTTGTCAAAGTTCAAAGTATACTACTCAATGATTCAAAATACAAGTATCTTAACACAAAATTTTCCTTACATGGGGCATGGATTCTGCTTCAAGAATAATTTGTCTGTCCCATGTAAGTAAGATTTTGTGTTGAGACTTGTATTTTGAATCACTCTGTAGTATACTTTGAACTTTGACAAGCTTTGTT